AGGAATGCCCTGGCACAGCCAGGCCCTTTGTCCCATGATGGCTGCACTGCCCATCACAGGCACCAGCAGGACCAGAACCCAAACACCACAAATGGTGCATAGCTCAGGAGCTGGTCTCTGCCACCTGTGAGCTCTGGGACCTTTCACTGCTATTAAAATGCAGTTGTCTGAATTGGGGAGGTAGGACAAGAGAATGGGGGCACTATGAACTAAGCCAATTGGTTTGATGGAAACAGAGATTTCTGAAAACCTTTCCCTTGGCTGTGTCTCTGAGCTGTTTATCCTGAGCTCTGGTAATAAAATTATGAGCTTTCCAAGACATGAATGGACAGTTTCTGTCTAAAGCTTCTTAGATCTGGAAACTAGCTTAGTGCACACACTGGCAGTCAGGAATGCACACACATGCATGCAGACAGAAGACGAACAAGCGTGTTACACGAGATGACAGAAATTCTCTGTGTTCCTGACCAATCCCTAGCTAAAGAGTTTTCAGATTTTCAGCAGTTTGCAGGAAAGACTTTTAACTAAGCTGACATTAGTCAAGCCAAAGTGACCAAGCTGAGCTGTCCTGTGGATGGCACCCAGCAGAGCCTCTCCGTGCAGCATCACTGGCAGCAACACAGCACCAGCCCCTGCTGGTGCAGCTGAACCACGAGACCCTACCTGTTGTGCTCTAACTAAGACATCTAACTGAGAGCAAAGTCTGGGTGGAGTACTTGGAGGGCAGAAGGAGGTTGCAGGAAGCCCAAGCGGACAAACAGCCTGGCCCAAGTGCAGATGTGGCTCTCCAGGGTGATCCCCGGAGTGGTTGTGCTGGGGCCACAGTGGCTGACATTGCTGGGGTTTAGCCTGAGTGCCCATGGCAGAGCAGGGAGAGTGCAGGACTCCTACCACCATCATTCACTGCCTTCAGTCAGCTATGGTGCTTGCTATTACCATTTCTTTATTTCCAGTGGCAGGTCCTATTTTTGGAGGCTATGCCCTGACCCAGCAGTAAGATACACTCCATTACCAAGAGCAGCTTTGTTTCTCTAGCTTTCACCTTCATTTCTACCACAGAGATTCCATGTTGATGAGGACTTAGCTGGATTAGACTGGAGTTAATTTTAGTCCCATGGTCAATAAGATGTACCAGGTGCCTACTGGCAACCCAGGGATCCCAAAGGCTTTGAAGGGTTCTTACCTGAGTATGTTCCTGCCCCTTCTGTTTGCTGCACATCTGTTTATGGGATGTAGCTGAAATCTGTGTTGCTGTCTCAATAGGTTTGGCAGCAAAGAGGAATACATGTCCTTCATGAATCAGTTCCTGGAACATGAATGGACTAACATGCAGAGATTTCTCCTGGAGATTTCCAATCCTGAAACCATCTCGAACACAGCTGGCTTTGAAGGCTACATTGACCTGGGCCGGGAACTGTCCACTTTGCACTCACTGCTCTGGGAAGTCATTTCTCAGCTGGAGCAGGTACCCAGGGGGGTGGCAGGGGCAGCCTTGGGGGAAGCACAGTTGGCCAGTGCTGGCGTAGGTGCCACTGCACACACCTCCCTGTGTCCAGCAGGTACCAATCCAGGAGCTGTGTCTGTGCACAGCTGTTACCCACCCTTAGCACTTCCCCCACACATGCTGCAGAAGTAGTTCATTCTTTACATCTTAGAGGCAGGAGCTTTCCCTGCTCTGCTCTTTATCACTGGGGGTAGAGATGGAGGGGCAGGTGGGATGAGAAGGCAGACGTGCTGAACACCAGGGTTTTGGCTGTGCCAGCAGATTCAAAAGGTTTATTTTTAATTAAAAGTATTTTTGTCAAGAGACCTGGACCAGGTTTGGCTAAAGCTGTCTCCTTCTGTATCTGAACTTTGTTAATCACATTTCCTCTGCCCCACAGCAGCCAATGGTTTCTAAAGCCACATGTTCTGGGACATCCCAGAGCCTCAGTGGTGGGGGTAAATGATGGAGAAAATGAATGTTATTAATGTGATTCACTGAAGAGCCTGTCCAGCAACTGGCAAAGCCCACAGTTCTCTGGCAGAAATACAACATGCTGGTAGTAATTCTGCTCTCTTTTCTGCCCAGGGCATTGCAGCAAAACTTGGGCCTCTGCCTCGGATCCTGAGGGATGTCAACGCTGCGCTCAGCAACCCGGCCTGCGTGCAGGTCTCGGTCACAGCCGATCACCCCGCGTCCACGCCCGGCGCTGGGAACAGCATCTCTGCAGGGCTGCAGAAAATGGTGATAGAGAATGACTTATCTGGGTAAGAGCATAAAAGGTAGCCTGGCCACAGGTCATGAAAATACGGAATATCCATCTGCTGCCAAAACCTAAGTACCTGCAGAGCCAGGCAGGACACGGCCTAGGGTGGAGAGCCTGATGCACTGGTTGGGCTGTACGATGGCAGGAGGGACACTGGAGCTCAGCTCTGGATCTGGGCAGAGCAGTGGGTGGTTGTGCAAGCACGTGGCTCCATCCTGGCTCCTTGAGAGCCAGAACTGGGAATGTGGTCTGGGAAATCAAGAACTTGGCAGTTCTGGTCTCAGCTGTTGAGATGTGGCTGGAGAAGCAAAATGTTCGTCCTTTGAGCACTTGAGGGCTTACTTGTGCTAACCTCAAATTATGGGTATCCCCATTAAGTTAATTAGGTCTCTGAGCCTGAAAGATTTGTAGGGTTGGCTTTATCCATCTTTGTAAGACAGGATATGTGCTGTATTCACTGAGATCCAAATCTGGACATTTCCCCTAACAGTTGCCAAGCTGTAGAGGCCTAACAATTAATTCCAGTCTACTCTGTCCAGTTTTTATAATACTGGGTGTTTCTAATGATGAGCAGTGATTCACAGACACAGTCACCTAACATACTTTTGGCCCTAATTATATAAGGAGTTTCATTTGTGGGTAAGATGACTCTATTGCAGACCTATAATGTTTCTGTTTGTGGAGAATGAAATGCAGCCCACGCAAACTGAAAGACTGTGCTAGTAAAATAGTTTGTAAGTGGAAACTGCATAATATTTAAGTTTAACTAGGAATGAAAGGCAGCAATGACACTGGACTTGCTGTAATCAAAGCTTTCATCTCTAATGCTTCCCAGCATGAGGTACAATTATTTAAATCTAATGCTGTGGAAGATCTCTGACAATATGCTCTTGCCCAAATACTTGCTTACAATGCACCATCTTTGATCAGTGGTATATCTACATTAAGCTGCTGTAAAGCTCTTTCTTCCTATCCCCAAGAAATCAATATTGCCTGAGTGTGTGTTACAGCAGGAGGAATGGGTGGATACCCTTCAGTTGCTGGACTTCAGCTCTGCTGTTTGTCTGACCCTTGGAGGCTTAGCGTGGATCAGGCCCCGTGGTGCTCCGCGCTGTACAGACACCGGCCCGTGTGCCCGCAGGAGCTCAGGGCCAGCCCTGGCCCCTCCACACCCCTCGGTTCCCAGCCCACCTCGCCCAGCCTCGGGGCTGCTGGGTTCCCTCCCGTCCCCCACAGCTGCCCCACGCTGATTTCTTCTGAGTGATTTCGTTTTCCTGCTCCGGTGCAGCATTCACAACTCTTCTTTTTTGTTTTGTTTTCCTCTCCTCTTCCTTACGCACTGACTTCCCCGCAGTCTGATAGATTTCACACGGTTACCATCTCCAACCCCTGAAAACAAGGACTTGTTTTTTGTCACAAGGTCTGCTGGGGCCCAACCCTCACCGGCCCGAAGCTCCAGTTACTCAGAGGCCAATGAGCCCGACGTGCAGATGTCTAATGGCAGCAAGAGTTTGTCCATGGTGGACTTGCAGGACAATCGGCTCTTGGACAGCGGGGCCAGCGTGCCCGGCACGGCCGAGTCCCTCAATGACAGCCAGTCCTCCCTGGGGCAGCTGCAGGGCGTGTGGGCCGCGCGGACTCAGCAGAGCAGCGCGGCGGGCATGGCCACGGTGCGCCGGGCGGGCCACACGCCCCCCACGCCCAGCGGCGACGGCGCGCCCGGCCGGCCCCAGCTCCTGGCACCCCCCTCCTTCCAGACACCCGTCTACCAGA